AACGTGATTATCTCTTTTAAGGTCCTGTCTCCAAGTACGGTTACTTTCTGAGGTCCTGGGGGTAGAACTTCAGGTGTGAATTTGGGGGTGATGGTGGTGGTACATAATTCAGCCACAGCAGGGTCTATTTTGAAAATCCCTGAGAGACTGGGACTGAAAACTGGTGGGCTTCTTGTCGGGAGTGGCCAAAGTCCATACTGTTCTCCCTTTTTTTGTATACCCTTTTGAAGGTTAAACAAGTTGTGAAAGTACATCTGCTTCAGTTTCTACTCCCCTCTGTGAATTCTCATCAAGCCTGAAATACTTTAACCTATCAACCATGCTGAGACAAAAAACCAAATACTGGCCTTTTCCAGGTGCAAATAAATGATGATCAAGAAAGTTGTCTTACGGGGGCCGGCCCGGGCCGGCCCATGGCTCACTCGGGAGAGTGCAGCGCTGGGAGCGCAGTGGCGCTCCCGCCGCGGGTTCGGATCCTATATAGGGATGACCAGTGCGCTGACAGCACTCACTGGCTGAGCGCCGTGCAGCCGGTCTCAAAAAAAAAATAAGAATGTTTTTCCCTTTTTAAAAACTCCAGGTTCCAGGTAGACTATGTTTTTCCCTTTTTAAAAACTCCAGGTTCCAGGTAGACTATGTTTTTCCCTTTTTAAAAACTCCAGGTTCCAGGTAGACTATGTTTTTCCCTTTTTAAAAACTCCAGGTTCCAGGTAGACTATGTTTTTCCCTTTTTAAAAACTCCAGGTTCCAGGTAGACTATGTTTTTCCCTTTTTAAAAACTCCAGGTTCCAGGTAGACTATGTTTTTCCCTTTTTAAAAACTCCAGGTTCCAGGTAGACTATGTTTTTCCCTTTTTAAAAACTCCAGGTTCCAGGTAGACTATGTTTTTCCCTTTTTAAAAACTCCAGGTTCCAGGTAGACTTTTCTTGCAACCAAGCTAGCCATGCAGAAGTTACTTATTAAAGGAAGGGTATTTACTTACCTTGTCCTTAAATATCCTTTAACTCTCATCTGAGAGTACAGAATGAGTAAGCACAAAAAATTAGATGCTAAAACTTATATTTTTAAAAAAATGAAAAATAAATAGAATGAAAGAAAAAACAAGCAAAGTACTTTCATTTTAAATTGTTATCTTATATTGATGATCTCCCAAATAAATAGATTTGAAAGATTCCTGTGAGTGCAGGCCTTCAATGTCAGAAACAAATATTATATTCCTGACTGGATATCAACACCACCACTAAACTTCCCTTTGAGATTCAGTCACAGAGACTTGATGGAATTCAGGCGCTCAGACTGGTGAGGTAAAGCAGTGGGATCTTGGGAGCAGGCAGAGGACACAGAGGACTGGCACAGACATCCCCAGTTTTGCAGTCTGCTCAGCCACTCCTGGGCCTGAGATGCTGGGTGCAAAGGTGGTGGCCCTCAATCCCTCAGCTCTGAAAGTCACTACTTTGAACTCAGAGATACAGATTCTACATTGTGAGCCTAAGTAGGGAATGAGGGCCTGCACAGAGATCCAGAGGCATGCTCTAGAAAGTGCTGTGACCCTGGAGCAGAAACAAGTGGCAATCCATAGCAGGAGAAGCCACCTACATTGCTCTCCCTTTTGTTAACACATCTCAAAAAGGCAAAATGGCAGCTTTACAAAACTAAGTTTACTCCTTTTCCTCTCTGACTTCTCACTGATCTCGGTAACAAGTGCTTTTAACCTGTCAACTGTACTGAAACAAAACACAAAACATACCCTGGCCTCTTTCAAATAAGTGACTTAGAAGGTTAGAAGGTATCATCTAAGACCTATACATTATCTTGTATCTGAGCCCTATGTAGAGTGGGCTCCGTAAGACCGTGCCCCACGTTGCCACCCATTAAGAAATCTTGGATTTCCCACCTCCCAAACGGTACAGAAATCATCCCTAAGGCCTCTTTCGTCACTATTCCCTAGGGTACGGAACTTCATCTAGCCATTAAAGGACCCCGTTCTCTGATCTATTACTCTTCCCACGCTGGGAATTAACAGAACTCTCAATTAACAGAACTCTCCACATCTCTGAAGAAAACATGTAAAGGAACTACACTGCGGGCAGAGAACACAGACACACGTCGCAGCTTTAAGAGAATAAAATGGCCACCCGGAATAGAGTGACTATCACTCTACGGACCAGGGTGGGAAACGACTCACTTGAAGTCAAGTGTACAACAGCTCATATCCGTTGCCCACAGGGGGATGTTGTGGTTGGCACTGAGGGGGGTGGGGTGGGGTGTCCCCTCCGTGCAAGGGCAGCCCGGGCCTCACAGACAACCGGCCGGCAGCCGAAGAGCAGAAGCCGGGCGAGGCCGAGGTAACGATTTCCCTCCGCAGCTCAAGAAAGAGCCAAGAGCCGCGCCTGGTGAGGCCATTGCCGCTCTCCGCTGCGGAAAAGACCAGCCCAGGCGTTCCCCCGACCGCGAGACCTGAGCGTCCGCTAGCGGCTGCTTCCGGCCTCGGCTCCTTCTCGACTCCGGCGCCCCTCCCCCGACAACTTGCAATGCCGAGCCGCGGCCGAGTGCGAACGGACGCCCCAGAAGAGCCCGACCGGGACGCTGCGGTGTCCTGGCCGTGCCCAAGACGGCAGCGGCAACCTAGCCAGGCCAGGTAACTAGACCGACCAAACACTACAAGGCTCGAAACAGCGCCCCAGCAATCGGGCCCAGACCTGGCGCCTAGCCCTACATCCCCTGTGGGGAGCCTGACAACTCCCTCCCCGCTCCCGGGAGGTGGCAGCGTGCGCCACGAGAACGCAAAGGGTAAGCGGTGCAGCCTCTTCCAAGTGCTGCTGTGGGTGGCTCTGAAAAGAGCCTTTGGATGTGATGGAACCTCGAAGCGGCCGCGCACTTAAGCCCGCTCCCCGCGGATGCGGCGGGCTAGCTGGATGTCCTTGGGCATAATGGTAACGCGCTTGGCATGGATGGCGCACAGGTTCGTGTCTTCGAACAACCCCACCAGGTAGGCCTCGCTGGCCTCCTGCAGCGCCATCACGGCCGAGCTCTGGAAGCGCAGGTCCGTCTTAAAGTCCTGCGCGATCTCGCGCACCAGCCGCTGGAACGGCAGCTTGCGGATCAGCAGCTCGGTGGACTTCTGGTAGCGCCGGATCTCCCGCAGCGCCACGGTGCCCGGCCGGTAGCGGTGCGGCTTCTTCACGCCGCCCGTGGCCGGCGCGCTCTTGCGAGCCGCCTTAGTGGCCAGCTGCTTCCTCGGGGCCTTGCCACCGGTCGACTTGCGGGCGGTCTGCTTTGTACGGGCCATGGCCAAGCAAAGCGCGAGCTCGCGAGCACGGCAACAGGAAGAGTAGCGGTCCCGCTCCGCCGCAGCGGTCTTTATAGGCACAGGCTTTTCCCGACTGGGCGGAGCAACAATTGAAAGTCCCGCGCTGGCTGTCCATTGGCTGTGATGTCACCCGTCCTAGCGTCACGGGTTGCCTTGGGCACAACCCTCCCTGCGCCCGCCCGCCCTCCCTCCCTCCCAGTCTGCCAACGGTTTTCCTCCCTTGTTTTTCCTCATTCTTTCAGAGTGAAAGTCATTCTTGATCGCGGCTTCGTCAGTTTGCTCCTCAGCCCTTCACTCCTTCAGAGCACGCTACCCTCTTCCTCCTTACACTGTGTAGCCCCCGAATCGAACCTCAACCTTGTTTGTCCCCCAAGCCCCGAACGCCTTGCCACCTTCTCCGAGTCCTCCCCGCCGCCCCCCGGTGCTTTTCGGTTCGGAGAGTTGTCTGCCCCCGGGGCACAAGATTCCGCCTCCGAAAGCCTAAGAGGAGCCCGTATGGCCGCCGCGAAGGCGCCTTTTGACTTATTTTTAAAAAGTAAACGAGCAGAGCCAGCCCAGTTAAGACCCAGCTCAGCCACGCTCCCGAGAACTGCCCGCTCCGCTACCGGGAGGGGAAGGGTGGTGGTGGTACGTCCCCCTCGTTTGAGTGTCGGGCAAACGGCTGCGGGAGGTTGGGAGGAGCGCATTGGGCACCGAGACTTGGCACAACGCGACGAGTATCAGCCTACCGCGTTAGCGCTCACGTGGACTGTGGCGCGCCCAAGGTGCTTGGTTACCTCCACCTACCGAGTAAGAGCTAAAGTGCTCAGAACCCGAAGAAGCCAAGGAACGGGTGGGGAGGAAGAAACAAGGATACTCGCCCCCCCCCCGCTCCGCCTCCAGGATCGGCATTTACTACCGAAAAACAGGGAATTGGGAGTTAGTTACTGTAACAACTCTTTTAATGTGAAAAAGTGGGTGGCTCTGAAAAGAGCCTTTGATTTCACACGTGTCCCCTCGAGACGCGGCCTGGGATGAGCCTCTAGACGTCAGCCTCACTTGCCCTTTGCCTTGTGGTGACTCTCCGTCTTCTTAGGGAGCAGCACGGCTTGGATGTTAGGCAAGACACCGCCCTGGGCGATGGTCACTTTGCCCAGCAGCTTGTTCAGCTCCTCGTCGTTGCGGATGGCCAGCTGGAGGTGGCGAGGGATGATGCGCGTCTTCTTGTTGTCCCGGGCCGCGTTACCCGCCAGCTCCAGGATCTCCGCGGTCAGGTACTCCAGCACGGCCGCCATGTAGACGGGCGCGCCGGCCCCCACCCGCTCGGCGTAGTTGCCTTTGCGCAACAAGCGGTGCACCCGGCCCACTGGGAACTGGAGGCCAGCGCGGGACGAGCGCGACTTGGCCTTGGCACGGGCCTTGCCTCCTTGCTTGCCACGGCCAGACATGACAGCAAAAAGTCCCTACAACCAGCTTCTGCTCGGCGACCGAGAAAGTCGCCGTAAACGGCCCCGCTTCACTCTTTTATAGGTAGAACGGCGATTGTCCACGGAACTCTTTGATTGGCTAACGCATAGCTTTGTCCTGGTGACCAATAGGGTAGCTCAGGCAGAATCCACTCATTTACATAATCTCGTCTCCCTCGCATCGGCATCGCTGAAAACTCGCGAATCAGAACGCAGCGTAACCGGAGCCTTCATTTGCGTACGGCCTCTATAAGTATCCAGTTGTTTCCGGCCGGCCCCAGTCCCGCTGCTGTGTTTGCGTTCGTGGTCGTACCTCTTCGTTCGTTCTGAGCTTTTGCTGCCGCTGCTCTTCGCGATGCCTGAACCGGCAAAATCCGCTCCGGCTCCCAAGAAGGGCTCCAAGAAGGCCGTCACTAAAGCCCAGAAGAAAGACGGCAAGAAGCGCAAGCGCAGCCGCAAGGAGAGCTACTCCATCTACGTGTACAAGGTGCTCAAGCAGGTCCACCCCGACACCGGCATCTCGTCCAAGGCCATGGGCATCATGAACTCGTTCGTCAACGACATCTTCGAGCGCATCGCCGGCGAAGCGTCCCGCCTGGCCCATTACAACAAGCGCTCCACCATCACCTCCCGCGAGATCCAGACTGCCGTGCGCCTGCTGCTGCCCGGCGAGCTGGCCAAGCACGCCGTGTCCGAGGGCACCAAGGCGGTCACCAAGTACACCAGCTCCAAGTGAGTCCCTGCCGGCCGCCAGACACCAAAGGCTCTTTTCAGAGCCACCCACCTTCTCAGTGAAAGACGCTGTGTGCTCTTCGCCTACCCGTTTCCCTAGTTAGTACCCACCTTACTTGCAAGACGAGAGATGAACACAGGATGGGGCCGTGTACTCTAGCTTGAAGGAGAGCTCTCTGAGGGTGTTGTGCTCATCCATGTGCACAAAACTTAACTCTTTCAAAAGTGAAACAGCACGCGATGTGTGTGCTGTCCAATGTAAAGTACTCAGGAAAATGGAGAAAAAGGAGGCGTTAAGCAGTGGTTTGTCTAAAGCGATTTGGTTGGGTCAGTGCTGTAAAATAACTGCATCCTCTCTTGAGCGCTGGAAACTTTAATGTAAAAAATAAAACAGTCAGTCCTTGGAGACCACGCCCTAGCACCTACAGCGAATTTTTCTCCCGTCCCTGGATACCTCCATTCTGTTGTTGGACCAATTTACTTTACACACCCTTCTTGTGAGGTATTCCTTTCGGGTACACTGAATCAATAGGTACTTGCTACTCGGATTAGACACCGTCAGAATGATAATACTATGAAGGCTCCCGTTATGGATAGTAAACGTTTTTCCGCAGGTATTCATTCACCCACACAAATCTCCATAGTTGTAGCCTGGTATTTTACAGTCCTCTGGATAAGGACGTTTGGCAGAAAGAGGACTTAGAAGTGCTCAAGGGGTTTTAAAACCCTGGGCCTGCTAATTATAAAATGTTCTCCAGGGACTTTACTCAGCAGCTCGTATTGTTAAAACTTAGCCTTAAAAAGATTTGTCCCTTATCTGGAACAATTCATTCTCTTTCTCTGCCAAAATAGGAGAGGCACCAAAAATTAGACAGTTTTTAAAAAGGTCCTCTTAATTTTTTTTTTTTTTTTTTTTTTAAGATGACCGACCTGTACGGGGATCTCAACCCTTGGCACCACGCTCAGCCAGTGAGCCAACCGGCCATCCCTATATAGGATCCCAACCCCGTGGCCTTGGTGTTATCAGCACCGCACTCTCCCGAGTGAGCCACGGGCCGGTCCCAAGGTCCTCTTAATTTCTGAGGCTGGATACCTTAAAAAGCAATGTTCCCTAAAACAGTTCAAAGGCCGCTGGACCCTCCTGGGGGCCCGGGGCATGGACCCGGGAACTGGACCCCCCACACACACACATCCAGGCACACGACTAGCGCCAAGGAGCATGCCAAAAACATCACCTCCATGTGGGTGGCCCACCACAGCCACCACAGTAACCACGGCTGCCGTGAAAGTGGCCAGACGTGACAACCACCACGCAGATGGCCCACCGGCCATTGGAGTGCATTGACGCATGGAGAGTCACCAGCAGAGACCAAAGAAAAGAAGAGGATGTCTCTCTCCACAAAGCCCATCTGGAGTGCATTGACGCATGGAGAGTCACCAGCAGAGACCAAAGAAAAGAAGAGGATGTCTTTCTCCACAAAGCCCATTCTGGAGTGCATTGACGCATGGAGAGTCACCAGCAGAGACCAAAGAAAAGAAGAGGATGTCTTTCTCCACAA